AAACAATTGCGGTGCCTTTTTATTTTTTGTTGTTCTGTTGCTTGTTTGTTTCGGGTCTGCCGTCTGATTTGATGACCTTGTCGGAGAAATGGGTTGGTTTTATGACCAGGCACGCGGACCCTGATTAGGAGGTGGAGTCTGCCTAGATTTTGGTGGCCGTTTGAAATGGAAATTCCCCGCATCTGGTCTTGGAAATTCGGCAACAAAATTGAATTATTTCCGCATACGTAATGAGACTCGTTCACTGAAACATTTTTGGGCTGAACAATGATGACATCGATTCATCAATTGTTCGATAAAAGTTTTTGCATTTATTTGGAGTTTATGGTTAAAAAGAAAAAGCTACCCAACTGAAATCTTAAGAAGTTATCGGGCTACCTTTTCTTACTGTGTACCAATTTCACTTCCCTTTGTAAGTTTGAAATAGTCCCTTTTTCTTGACCTTTCGATTGATTCTTAATTAATCCTGAACCTCTTCAACTGGCACATCCTTCCACATTTGAGACCTTCTGAATCCTCTCCAAACTGAAGAGCCACTCAATCGTCGACGGAGGCTCGTCTCTCGCCTTCCGATTGAGTGCGGAGTTCCGAAAAAAAACGTCGAGAATTTGCATATTTTATTAAATTCCCGCACAAATATCCAATCAATAATGTAGTATGCCATTCGCCGTATCCGGCTATCCTACCCCTCCATTCCGCTCCACTACCCCCTGCCCATTCCCTTTGAGTACGGACCAGAGCCAAAGCCGTGGCAAATTAAGTATGCATACGTATTCAAATGGCTCACAAGCCGAAATATACACACAGATATTGAAAGAACTAAGGGGCACGGGGGATGGATGTATGACCGTAAGCCCAAGAGAGAGATTTTTGGTTTTTTCCAGATCCGCACCTCCTGAATCCCTCCAATTTCCCGTCTCCTCCCGCCTCTTTGTGGGCAAAGGCAAATCATTAAAGACGTCGATCCCTCCAACCAAATCCGCATGGACTCGTTAGTTCACTGCGAAAACAATTCTACAATTATTAATATATCTTAAGATGTTTTTACGATTTCTTTATGTCTATATACTACATTATTTTTTGAAATATATTTTTTTAATAATATACAAATTTAACATAAATCCATTATGACACAAAATATGGCACAAAAAGCTAAAATATATTTGGTAGAATAATATCAAGGCCTTAAGAGCTTCTTAAATAACCTTCTTTTAAACACCTAATCAATCATTTATGGTTTTTTGGAATGTTAAATTTATTCAAAATTTTTGTTCTTAGACATTATTTTAGTTTTTTTATGGTATTTTAGAGGACTTGAAACTGTTTAGATTAGATTAAGAGTCTCCTAAGAAGTTTCGAATTTTTGATAATTGTAATGATATAGAAATTTTCCTAGAACACCAAATTTTATTTCCAGTGTTTCATTGGCCTTTTTGGCCTTCTTTTGTTTTTGTTTCTCCGGTTTTGTCGCCACGCAAAAATTTTTGGCACACTATCGATAGGGTGGCTGAGACATTTTGGGGCCTGGGACCGGACTGGGCTCGGTGGAAGATGCAAATGAATACAAACAAAATACCGCAAGCAGAAAAGATTATGCCTGGCATAAAAATAAATTAATGGCCATGGCGTGCGTATGTGTGTTTGTGGAGAACCAACACAAGGACAAAGTAATGCCCCTGCCTAGGGGCGCAAGAAGGGAGCCTGGGAGGGACATTGTAATAAGCCACGCAGACTTCCCCTTTGGGCAGAACTTCCCCATGTTTTTTTTGTTTTTCTCTTTATAATTTACTATGCGTAATTTCCTCGACTGCTTTCATACGTAAATATTTAATTTCCTTAATTTTGTAGGACTCTATTCCAAGGGGCCGCGCCATCGACTGCCCTGTTGGCTAGCTTTTTATTTCATTATTTATTGTTTTGCATTTCATCGCCAGGGCTTTTATGTTTATTGCTCTTTGTTGGGCCAAAGTAGGGGCACACGCGGCGTATGCGCAATTTTCTTAGCACAGCATGACTACGGCGAAGTTAAGTGTCCAAAGTGCTGTCAAAAGTTAAGATCCCGACACTCTTGCTTTTTAGTTTGCCTTCGGTTTTTTTTATAGTTTTCTGGTGAGGACATAAAGATAAGAGTTTCGGTTTCATGGACGGAAAAGAAAGGGTATTGAAAAGGAAATAAATTTTAAAGGTTTATCCAGCAAGGGAGAGTTTTCCAGCTTGAATAATTTCTAAATAAATCAAGCATTTTTATTTGAAGTTTAATCTCTTGAAAGGATGTAACTTTAATTTGGATAACAAAACTGATCAAGCAAGTTTCAGCTTAAGTTTTTCCAAATCTTTTATATTATTCCAGGAGGATTGGACTTCTATCCAAAAAGGAAAAGGGTTTGCACTTCAGTTGAAGAGAGTATGCAGCTAAAGAAACTTTTCACGCTATTTTTATTAGTGCCCCAAAGTGTAAAAAGTAAAGTTGAAAGTGCGCAAAGCATTTTTCTTGATTTCCATTTTTGTGCAGTTCCCCTGAATTTTTAGCTTTTTTTTTCGTTTCTTAGCCCAACCGAACTCGACTAAACTTAAACGCATTGGCATCCGTTTCTGGTCGAAAGCGGTTTATTGCCAAATACAACAAGAAAAAAAGTAAATAAAGTGGAATTACTTGTTTCAGGAGAAGCTGCTGCACAAAAAAGGAGAAAAGATTTGCCAGGACTTGGCGAGAGTTGAAAGTTGAGTCTATTCCAAGGAGCATTTTGCATATTCATTCTGCGCTACTTTGTCGCCACTTGAAAATTGCCTCCTGTCTGTTTTTTAGTTTCATTTTCTATTTCAGTTGCCGATTGACGGCGAAAATTCTAAAGTAGATAGAAAAGTTTTTGGTCCAAGTACCCTGACCTAAGCCCCATCTTCCCGTCCATCTGGACAATAGTTTTCAAGCTTAAGACTTTCTTTTAATTAATTCCCCCTTTAAATAAGAGTTCATTGCGGAAGTTGTAATAACCCGACATTACATTCTGCCCCGCTGAATAATTCAATAAATATTTTCTTTTCCAATTATGGGAAATGGCTTGGATTTTCTCGGCTTTTTCCTGGCCATTAAAGTTTGGCGTATCCCCTGGTTAATTGCCGCTAAAAGTTGCTGGAAACAAAAATATTATTTTATGTATTTTGGCATTTTTGTCTTGTGGATGTTAGGATAGGACAGCGTTGATATTAGGAAAAGTTTCACCCCAGGGGCGTGGCAGCCAATGGCTTGGCGTGGGCTGTTAGCTGTTCCACTAATGAGCCTATTGTTCGGCAGATAAAACGTGGCCAACTCGAAGGCCCGGAGGAACAGGAAATAGCTGTTGTGGTTGTTGTTGGCATTAGCAAAGGGTTGGGCCCGAGCCCGGGGCTGGGAAACTTTTGGGCGGCCAATTTTCGTGGGCTGCTTGAGAAGTTGATGGCATTTGCATTGGTAATTGACATTGAAAGAGCCAGGTAATGCAAATTAATTATTGAGCACTCGAAGGTGAGTTTTGGATTAAGTTTTGTGATTTGAAATTATTAAGATTGGAGGGTTAAATTTTAGCATTTAACTTAGAGTCCCTGAAAGGGCCTGTTAGGTTAATTTCTTTCATAAACTTAATTAAAATCCCTTGCATTCATTTCAATTTCTACTCCCATTTTTTCATTTTTGTTATATTTTGTGGCTTGGTGTTTTTCCCCACTCATAAATGCAGTTAATTGCTCTGAGCTTAAGTTAATATTAGTTTTCTATAAAGTTTTTGCCAACAGCTGGCAAAACAATTTCTCTCTCTAGCCCTCGTTTATTCATTTTTATTCTCTTTCATCCACAGTGTTTTTGGTCCTTGGAATTTTCCTTTAAAAAGAAAACGAAACTGAAATTGTAATTAAATTTTTGCCAATTCGTTTAATTGAGTTTTAAGCCGCAACTTTTGAATTCTCGAAATTGAAAGTCGCCTTATACCGCAAAACCACTTGTATTTCCCCCCACGTTCTGCCCAACTGCTTAATTATTTTATTTTCTTGAGGTTGTCCTGACTGTGGTTCTTATTATAAATTTTTGGGTTTTTTTTTTGCATATTTTACGAGCGCTCCTTGTGACTGTTTGCTCTGTAATTAAGTGCGTCTAATTTGTGTTAAGCGCCGTGCCACTTGAGCATCGCTTTTATTTTCCTTCTTCAGATATATTTTTTAACCCCACCGGGCCTGGCATCTCTGGGGCTCTGGATTCCCAAGTTAAGCCCAGACGTTCCACCAGGCTCACCAGTATCAGAAAATTTTCCAAAAAAACGGGGAGAAGGGGCTTTAAAGGTTGTCTGGGTACAAACTGCTGTTAAATTGTTACCTCCCCCGAGGAATTTCATGCTCATTTTTTTGGTGTTTTTTGTTTTTATTCTCGGGCAGACGAAATAAAACATTTTTTGAGTGATTTCGGTGCGTGTGTGTCTGGTTTGCTTCACAGATTTTTGAAGGTGAATCAAGGGTTGGATTTCGCAAAAGCAATATAATATCAGTATTTATATACGAGTGAAGTATTTGATATAAAATGGCCAAAGGCAGTACTTCTATAGCCGATAATGAAATTGACAAGTTCGAGTAGAGTGTAGTAGAGGTAAATTTGGCACTTTAAGTGAGAAAGAAAATTTTTTTTAAATTTATAGAGAGTGTCCAGTATAAAGTAAAGTTTAAACTAAAAAAACAAGATTTTTAATCCTTTCCAAACTTTTCTAAAGTGGGCTAACTTTTTTAATATCCAGGGCCACAATTGGTTACCTTTTTTAATAAGGCCTTCGTAAATTTATCCTTTTTTTAACTCAAGTTTTTAAGCTGCCATCTGTTTAATATTATCTCATTATTTTCCTTTTTTTTAAAACTTTCTCAGTCATCGTTAAATTAAACCCTTTGTAATTAGCCTTTTTTCTTTTCTATCTTCTTAATCCACAGCTGTCTGTATTAATTATGCCATTTTGTGTTTCTTTTTTCGCAACACATTCTTTTCTTACCTTTTCTCGAGCCTTAATTTATTAATTCATCAATTAAAAAGTTTGTTTGAGTTTCACACTTGCACTGGGAAAACACCTTGTGTTTGCTCGCACTTTTCCTGGAACAAATAATTGTATTTCCTATTTGTTTATTCCCGCACTTTGCCGGCAATCAACTGTGCGAGTTTCGCCTTTTTTTCACTGGCTTTTATTTATCTGAGTTCGTTCGCTACTGTTGTTTTTGTCTGGCTCTTAGCCACGTTAGCAGCCTTGGATTCTTCCGCTATCGTCACGCGTCCGAAACGGTAACTGTGCGAGTTTATCAGTGCTAAGCGTTTTTAAGGCGAAACGATACCAAATGAAAGCTTTCCCGAAAAGCTTTTCCCTTCAGAGAGTCGGAAAAGTCAGAGAGACCGGTAGTAAGAGAACGTTTTCGACCAAATCTGTATGTGTTTAGACCAAATCGAAAGGATGCTTGGGTCTGTTGGCCGTCAATTGTTTTAAGTGCAACATATCGAAAGCAAAGTCAAACACAAACATTTCGCACTCTTGCCCTGGAAAAAGGATAAAAAAAATTCGAGGAAAGCAAAGGTGTAAGAAAAACTGCATGCAAATCATTTCCTCCACTCATAAATTATGCAGTCGGGAAGGGAGTCAGAAAGGGGAAATATACAGTCTGGTTGTGGCAGAGGAAAATGCTGGAAAAACTGCAGTAGCCGCAAGCAGCCAAGCAAATAAACTTCATTTTATCTCGACGTGAGTTTCGGCTTTGGCCCAGCTTGGAATTGGTTCCATTGGCGCTCCTTTGACCAGCGACAAGATATGTGCATCCTTTAGTGAGTTATTTCCTTCTAGGAAGGACACACACATTATTGGGTTGGGGGAATTTGTCGCGGTTACTTTAAAGTTTTGGCAGCAAAGGGATACTTGTATCTTGTTGGAAGTTGGACTTTAGGAGAAAGTTTTGTTTAAATATATTATTTCTAAAATACTAGTGCCTTGCCATGCAGCCATGCTATTTATTTAATAGTTTTGGTAAGAATTAATCTATAAGACGCAATTACCACATTTATATTTAAATGAAGTCCTTTTAAATCAATCAAAAAAGTAACCTTTTTTTAAACCATACCATTCTTTTTTCAGACACACATTTCCTTTGCAATATCGTCCTACATTTTACCGTTACAGTGTGCGTTTTCAACGGAAACGGAAATGCCGGCAGTCGCAACGGCAAACTGCAAAAAGTAAACCAACACGATGATGAAAGAGGCCAGCATGTTTTGCCTTTTGGCCATTTCGTTTCGACCTCGAAACGATGTTCCCGATTCCTTCTTTCTTAGTTTTTTGTGTGTCCATTGCTGTGTTTTTTTTGTCATATATGTAAATTTCAAATTCATGGCAAACAAGATAAAAATAAAGAAACTAAGAAAACGGCAAAAGACACCGAACTGGAAATATAAATATCGATTAGTTAATATCAAACCGGCTGACAGGATGACAAGGACCTTAAGGCGGCATTGAACTTGTCTAGCCGAAAAGGAAGTGGGAAAGGGAACTTCCGGTCTCTTCTTGCCTCCCCAACACACACACACACACACTAACACTATTGCAATAACCTTTGCATGATTTAATTATTTGTAGCATACTTTTGTGCGCCAACCAAAAACTTCACACCTCAATGCACACAAGAGTCCGGGAGGGATTGTGTGGGTGAGTGGGTGAGGGGCTGAGTGGCTCAGTGGTTCTCCGGCTGAGTGGTGCAAAAACTTTTGCCACTTCTGCATTCAGTGCGGTGCAGAGCCGTAAAGTTGCCGCCGTGGCAGGACCGACCTCTGCGGTTTTCGGAGCCAGAGTCCTGAGAATCCGGCTTTCTATGCGAACTCTGAATGTCTCAATTCATTTTACGCCACACTGCGCCTCAAGTGGAGCGCGCCATGCAAAAAAGGGCTGCCAATGCGGGTTTTGGGCAATGGGTTTGTGTCCTTTTACCCATTCTAAGGAGACGATAAAGTTGTATTGACATAGTAAGTATAAAGGAAATTAAACATTATTTTTAGGCTTAGAAAAAATATAGTTGCAGACTTAAGCTAGAGTATTTTTGCAAAAAAAAAATAAAATTATTCTTTCCGAGGTATTTGGTAGTCTAAACTTAATTACTGTTTCCTTGTTTGTAGCTTGGGTTTCGGGTCGGCCATTTGGGATAAAAAATAAAACAAAACAACAATTTTTTGTTGGGCAATGTGGGGGCGGCGGGTGGCCAAAAGTGCAAGCAGCGCAGAAAAGGGCTTTGGCATCATTACAATTTGTTGATTTGCTTCGTTAAACAGCAAACAGTAGAAGCGAAAAAAACCTCAAGGTTCAGAACGAAAGACGCGAACTGAAATTGAAACAACGGCGACAGTTGAATGAATCAAGTGAACATAAAGACCCAAGACGCTAAGTCAGCCCGAGGCGCAATCCTCTCATCTCGCCAGCCACCGCCGTCAGGACACCCGAGTCCTTTTGCTTATTTTTTCTGTGCTATTCAAATGACGGCTGCATTGTTGTATTCGCTTTTGATTATTTGCTAAAAAAAAACGAAACACAAGCGCGAAAAATGAGCAAAATAAGAAAAAGTGAAAATGCGAAAACACCAACGCCGGCAAATAAACACTGTGGCAGCGAGAATATGAAAGCCGACAGGGAATGCTGGCAGGGCGATGAAGCCTTCAAAGGCGCCGTTCCTGGGCGCCAAAATTGTATCTCATCTTCAAAAAGAAGTAGGAGTTTGGATAGCCGGTAGCCTCAGGACTTTTTTCTTTAATATTTGTATATTTTTCAACACGACTCAGATGTGACGGGGCAGACAACCTTGATTCCGTTGAAAGGTGGATACAATCTGGCGAAAATAAGCCTAACTGACATGCTTGGTCTATAACGCTTGTAGTGTCTAATAATTAAGAATGTGGATAAATGTAGTCAAAATTGATATTTAATTTGTGAAGAACATTTTTTACTGCAAATAATCAACAAATCTGGATTAGGGACTTTTGTTATATTTTTTTGTTGTTCTTTTGAGGGGAACATTTTCTAGAAAATTACAAATTGTTTTTGGTACTTAACTCAAGAATCGGATATAAATTGGCAAAGTTATACCTATCGTATTTTGGCCATGCATTTTCCACATTTTTTTAAGGGGATCCCCCAGAAAAATTGACAATAAACCTAAAATCTAATCAGTTTCATTTTGATGCAGATTTACAGAAAATCGATCTACAAATCGTTTTTGGTACTCAACTTAAGAATCGGATACAAATTGGCAAAGATATACCTGTCGTTGTTGGCCATTTTGGAGTCCCTAGAAAGTCCCATTGGAGTCCCATATTGAATATCTTAGAAAATTTGACAAAGAATTTAAAATCTAATTTGTTTCGAGATTTTTTACGGAAAATCGATGTATAGGGTTTTTAAGGTATTCCACTCATGAATCGGATGAATTAGGATAGATTTACATTTCGGAGGGAAAAGATACACAACTACATATTTAAATAGTTTTTTTGCTTCTTCAAACACTTTCCATTCATTTAAACTACTATTAAAAAGTAATTAAAATAAACCTACCACTAAAAGAATTAACTCAAACATATTTGCACAGCTTTTGTTTACTTATTATTTATAATTGAAAAATAGCTTAGAGTTGTTGCAACAGTTATTATTTCTCTTTGTTTATGACCATAACTTTTTTAGCCAGTTTGTGAACTTTTTTCGTCCTTTGTTTTTCCAGACTGTTTTTTTTTGTGTTGGTCGTTTCTCTGTTGCCGTTAGCCTCCCCTTCTTTAATTGGCCTTATCACTTCTGACCCTCTTCACACAATTAAATTTATTTGCAAATTGTAAGTTGAATTGCAGGGCGAACGGCTGCCATCGTAATTTTATTTTTATGAGCCACCGCCGCAGTTTATGCCATAAAACCGCTTCAGCTTGACAGTTCGCATTTGAGCCACAATTTATTGCATAATTTTTGGGTTGAATAATTAGCATTTAATTTAGATTGAAACCGAAAAATGCGAAGAAAGACCAGATAGCAAAAAGCCCCACCAGCCCCAAAAAAAGGTTCATTGGACCACTCATTAAATTAGTGAACGGATGTGCCTTAGATTTACATTTTTTGATATACCGACGCCGGGGGCTAGGTCTTCAATTCAAAGTCCACACAGTATAATAATGTTTTTAATGAGTTTTAATTTGAATATCAAATTATATGAAAGCTCCAATACGTTAGCATATTTGGGCTTTTCCTGTATGGACATTAAAATAATCGCTACCCAATTTTTTTTATTTTTTCCCCCCACTGGGGGAATGAAAATTAAGACTTGATTGATGCGCAATTAGAAACTACAATGAATGATAGTCTCTGTGGGAGTTTTTGCAGTTCTAGGCATACTTAATTATCCACCGGTTGGACGTATTAATTGGCTTCTCCTGCGGCATCCATAAGTTCTGGGTTTTCCGATAAAAGGATGGCATTACTCTGTATAAATTGGCTTTTAGCGTAAGTGCTATTGAGTGGGCTATGCCAATTGGGTTGGTCAGGAAGACCGGAAGACAGGATTGTAATTTTCTCAATTGCACAGTGGTAACACTATCTTCATTCTATACCATATTTATTTCCCTTTATCTGGATTTTATAATATTTTTTTATATTTTATATATGGCAAACATATATTTTAATGACAACCCAGTTTCTTGCTTGTAAGATAGTTGTTTAAGTTAAAACTGCATTTAACAAACTGCTTTGTTTATATTTACAATTTTGTTGACCATCGTCTTGAGGGGACAAGCCCACCTGTCTGTTTGTCACTCCAGTTGGCCAAAGCAAATGCTTTTGATCGGCAAATAGCCGTGCAACTTCCGCAATGGCCAAGTGGCATGGAAAACTTTTCCCCTCAGAAAAAGCTAAAGCAAAAGCGGGGCTTGAAATCGACGAATGACGATTAGCACATCGGGCCAGCTATTGTTGTTGTATTACCGCTGCTACTGCTGCTGCTGTTTTGGCCAACACTAATACAACAACCAAAAAAAAAGGCAACACGTATAGAGGTGTAGAGGTGCCATAGTATAGCCCGTGGTCTGAGATGGGCGCATTCATGTTCGTGATCAGCATGGGCAGCGCAATATTTTGAGTTTCATTTTCAGTTGTTGAACGGAGCGCGAGCGGGCTAGACACACGCGGGAAGAAATATCACATAAAAATTAGCTAAATGTGCAAAAAATAGTCAAGAGAGAAAACAAATTAAGAGGCAGGTGAAATTAAAGAGTGCGAGTGTACAAACAAAAATACAACGAAAAAAATAATACGAAAACCTGCTAAATAAAAGTGCAAAAATTAAACACAAAATATTCAAGCAATCGTTGTGCAACGCCTTCTTTTTTTTATTGTCTATTGATTTGCCGCTTTTAATGCTCGGAACTTTGACATCGTTCGTGATCGTCCCTTTGGCATTATACAATCGGTGTTTACCCACAAAATATATGCACAATTTATCAGTTGTAGTGCAAACTTTTCACTTACTGATGCCCCATGCCGAGGCAATCAAAATGAATTAAAGACAAGCTGATATTCATGTGAATTTAATTGAAATTCAACGAGACTATTCAATAAATGTGCAATGTCAATGTAACTGGGGAAATCGGGTGAAAATGTTGGTGGTCAAGGTTGCTGGCGTTTTATAGGATTAGGAAATTAAATTTTTAAAAAAAGGGTTAGGAAAAGATCAATAGAAGATAAATGCATAGAAAGAAGATAGTGTTTGAATTATAGATAAATAAGGTCTTAAATAAATAAATGGAAAATATTCACAGATTATAAACTTAAAAGATATTGGATATCATCATCGCACTATTACAAAAGATCAAGGGCAATGAATTGGGAAGAAAAGTCAAGGTAGACTTCAACCAAAATTAGGTAGACTTCCAAAAAGGCTAAAAATACTCAAATCTTTAAGATCACAAAGCCTTAAATATTCATTGTTATATGAACAAATAAACTCTGAATAAAATCTGACTTAGGCCACCCACCATATTTTTGCAAATTAAAAAAATCATCATTAGCATGACTCTCCATAACTTAATGTTTACCAAATGTCTGAACAATTATAAATATTTAATGTTTCCTTTAACTATCTGTCAAGCGACATGTTCATCAAGAACACTCAGTAAATTAACTCAACTCGATTGACTTTTGAACCCGAAGTATGTAAGCACTTCAGTCAACAGGTTCTGCGTATTTACAAAATTGTTGTGCTGCAATTAATATCAACTCGAAAATATGCGATAATTGAGCGATGAAATACATGATGCTTGTACAAAATAATTAAACTTTTATCTAGATAGGTGTCAGCTCTAGACTTTGTTTGTTGTTTTGCTGTCTTGACACATTGTCTAATGAATTGTTATCTCTGGGAAGTGAAGACAGGAAAATTGTATGAATTAGTTACTGAATTTGCAAAATTTCGACTTGCTTGAACCACAGACTGCAAATAGCATTTTGCGGTTCGAGTTCTGATTTTGATTATTTGCCATGAAATGGATTTGATTTTTTGGTTTTTATTTGATTTCATTATGGTTTGGCAAGCATTTTCCGCTTTGTTCAATTTGTTAGAATTTCGTAAGGTCGGGTCTTTGCCATTTTGTAGTCTGTCGTTTAGTTTTGTCTCGTCGAGATACATATTTGAATTTGTATTTGAATTTTGCGAACCGCAAAAGCTCGGAAATAACTTGGTAGACGCATTTCGTTTGAAGAGTCAGGGTCGGCCAACGATGACGAGGCAACTGGTCTTGTCAGTGACACAGTCGGCTAAAAGTTGTAACCAAAAATATATGAATGGAAGAAGACTGAATGTAAATCCCGCATTTAATGCGGTTTGCTCACAAAATAAAATGTGCCAACAGCATAAATGCAAAAACCTTGTACACTTTGTTTAGCGAATGTTTACATTTCATTTCAACAAGTTTCTGCAGAAATTTCAGTTGCCAGAAGGTAGTTTATTTTTTGCAAACATTGTTTATCTTATGAAGGAAGATGTTAAAAAATGTTAACGATAAATACTATTTATTTTGCAGGTTATAAGCGTTTTCCTTCCTGAAAATTTTGCGCTTTTTATAGCGTGTTCAACCCATTTGCAAACTGTTAAAAAATTTCTAACAAAACACATATATTTAGGCTTTATGACGCTTATTTTCGCGGTTTGTTTTACGCACCTGAGAATGTGCTAAACATAAAATGAATTCGCAAATTTTGTGCTAATTTCCGACCCCAAAAATGATTTATGATGGAAATTTGGAAATTAATTGTTCGAGCTTACGCCGGCTGATGAAATTGAATCACCAGATGGATGGAGTTGTGATCTCTGACTTTGAGGTGATAAGACATGCTTCCGATTCGGTTTCAGTTCCAATTCTCCGGAATACGTTCAACGCCGAGACTTTAATTGAGGTCACTTGACTTCGGGGACTTTGACACGTTTCCAGAGCATCTCGGTGCTCCGAAGGTCGTTGTGGAATCATGTTTGTAGTACGTTTACAGGTACTTTCAACACACAGCATTACTGTGCAAAAAGACAACAAAATTCACAGAAATATAGCCATTGTAAAACCAGTTTGGAAATTGACAATACAAAGAGGTTACATAATGCGGCGCAATGGGGCAAGCTAAAAAATGATTTTAGTATGCCCGGTCTGTTACCTCTCAGGGGCTTTCGAAAACCAGTTTTTCAATTTCGGCGCCCAAATCGAAACAAAACCAAAAGTCTGGCGGAACTCTCTTATTAATTTGCCTTTTGGCTTTAGTCACGTGATCATCCATCTGAGCTATTTAGAGTTTTGGTTTCGGTTAACGATTTTGTTACACTCTTTAAAGGCTCTGGCCAACTGGCTAGGTGTTGTGAAATTGTTAACACATTAATTATAATTTGGTGTGCCTAAACAGAGGGCTGAAAATGTGTGAGCTTAAACAAAGTCATAAATTAGTGAGTTGAGTAATTGGTGGTAATACCATCATAGCGAATAGAATTATACAAAATATTTTACTAAATAGCTTGAAGTTAAACTTTGGCTAAATCTAAACTAGAGCATTAAAATGTCTCTAAGATTTTTATGCCGATTTCTTGCCTATTCAAATTTTAATGAATTAATCGCCAAAACCTGGTGACTGGTACGTCGTGCAAAGTTTCTTACTTGTATCAGCGTCTCTATGAATTTTTATTGATTTTATTGGCTAGAGTCTCACGTGATGGGACAATCAGTATTCACATCTTCGTATAAAAGCCTAGAGAGATGCTGGATGACTGTTCATTTAGATTTGATACACCAACGTTGACCTAGGTTTACTGTAAGGATGTCTCCAAGTGGCTCTTATTTTAATTAAATCCCCTTAATAAGATCGTGTTGAGGACATTAACACTTGGTCTAGACATTTGTTTAGCAGCTATTAGGTTTAATAATATTCATTAAATCAAAGCAGCCACATTTAATTTGAGATAGTAAAGTGCAATGCCCCAGATGTGTCTATTTAAGTTGCCGAAATATATGAAGCTTATTCTCACACTTTCACCCAGTTCAGTAAATAACTCCCCTTTTTTTTTTGGTTTCAACAGCAACTACTTGGAGTAAACTATACGAGTGCTAATAAAGTGTAAAATCCCTCTAAAAATGTTAAAGATGTGAAGTAATGCCCGAGAGCCAGTGAACGCCAGGAAGTATTGCACCATCTTGCCCCAGTTTCGGTCATTAAATTAAGATATTAAAAGAGCTCACAATGAATGCAAGTGAGGATAATCAATTATTGGAGGCTTCAGAGCCCTCATCACAGGATTCGAGTTCAGAGAACAACCTCACATTAAGCCTGAGAGCTATTCCCTCCGTGGCTGAGTATTATGAAAGTAAGTAATCTTAAATTATTTAATTATATTTAATTTTTAATTATTTTCATCGCCAGACATGACTGCCTTTGTTAGCTTGGCCATTTTTGTGGCCAGCTTGCTGACCATCCTGAACATCTGCATCTTCTCCAACACCGCCTCGAGAATGTGCCGGCACCTGAGCAAACCTCTTTTGAAACCATCGATCATGATGGTCGCCCTGTATCCCATCATCTCAGTGGCAGCGCTCGTGACCATCCTGGTTCCCTATTCCTGGTTCATGTGCCACACAGTGATGCATGTGATGTTCATGGTTGGTGGACCCGTGTTCCGTACTTTACTCTTCCGTTACGTGATCTCTGAGCAGAATTACGTAAAGGAGACGGGCGGAGAGCCGGTCCAGCTGAACACGCCCCCTTGTTGCTGCTGCTGCTTCTGTCTGCCCATGGTGGTGCCTACGAAGGCGAAGCTGTGCATCTCCCGGTACATGGTCTGGCAGATGCCCTTCTGGCAGGGATCTATTATGCTGGTGATGAACATTCTTTATTACCGTGACATCAAACTGTACCACCAGGTGATGTACTTTTTCATACCCTTCATTGTCTGTTCGATTGTGATGGGAGCGTGGTCGCTGCAAATCACGGTCCGGATGATCACCAAGCTCAGGGGGGACTATCAGCTGCGGAAAAAGATGTTCTGCCTCCAGTTGGTCGTGATGCTGTGCAAGCTGCAGTACCTGCTCCTCTACGACCAGTTGGATGGAATCCCCATGGGCGGGGAGTATCCCATCAATCACACTGTCTACAAACAAAGTGAGTTTTATATCATAATAATTTCTAATATAATTTTATTAACATGCCAACTACATATTTTTTAGCCATCATTAATATCCTAATTTTGGTGGAAATGGTATTGGTGTCCATGATGGTCCAAAGTGCCTACCGCACACCCATTCAGGTCCAGGTCGACGAGGTCAACAAGGAGAAGGAGATAACTCGCATCTGAGTTGATTTTTTGGCTAATGGAGTGTTAGTAGCAAAGAAATGTGATAAATTTAATAAAGAAATGTTAGTTCAATTTATGTGATAATCTTAAAAGTGTTGAAGGTAAGGTAGGATCTATTTTTAGTTCATATTAGTCCACCCATTTAGTATGTAAATCAAACTAGATGAGTTAAGCCCAATGTTGGAACAAAAGTGGCCACAAATCAAGAGCTTCCACCACAACTTGGCCAGTACTCTGCTGCGAAACCCCCAAGTTCCATTTCCCCGTTGGGAAATGCGTGTCGCGTTTAGCTCATAATTCTCCCGGAGGCATCCACAGGGTCGGGATCCGTTTTACATTTTTTTTTTTAAGAAAAAGGAACAAACAAAACGCTGTGCGGCTTAGACCAAATGCCCCACTGCCCAAGTGCCATAAAAATACAATAAATATAATATGAAATATCTATACGCTTATATATCTTCCTTTCTGTTTGGATAGCCTTTTCTGGATAACTCAATTGCTGTCGCAAAGCGGCCATAGGCCAAGCTGGCTGGAAATTCTTGCGAAAAAACAGGAAATTGTAGGAAGCGGCCTCGAATTAAAGTGGGTGGGTGGGAGTTGCTGAAAAAATCGGACATAATCAAGAACAACAACAAAGATGGCTCAGTGCAAGGCAGTGCGTTGAAATTTATGATTTATTTGAAAAGAAAGTACACTGTGCTTTGCCAAAATAAATCACACTAAAGATGCTGGCAGGCAGCTCAGAAACCAAACGAAGCAGGAGGAACCATGGGCGGTGGGCTCTAGAGGGGCCCAGAGGAAGTGGCAACAGGGACGAAGTCAGTCAGTAGATTCGTTGGTGGGAGTCAGACCAAGGCCATGGGGCAATGAAAATCAAATAAAATACCGAAACAAAGGCTGGTTACTTTGGTATACCCTTGATATTTATTTTCTTTTATTTTTATACCCTTGCAGAGGGTATTATAATTTTGTCCAAAAGTGTGCAACGCAGTGAAGGAGACATCTCCGACCCTATAAAGTATATATATTCTTGATCAGGATCACCTCCTGAGTTGATATAAGCATGTCCGTCTGTCCGTCTGTCCCTCTGTCTGTCTGTCCGTCTGTCTGTTTCTACGCAAACTAGTCTCTCAATTTTAAAGCTATCGACTTGAAACTTTGCACACACCCTTCTTTCCTTTGCACGCAGTATATAAGTCGGAACGGCCGAGATCGGCCGACTATATCCTATAGCTGTCATATAACTGATTGATCGGAAATGGTATAACTTTGGTGTTTTTAGAGTTAGAGAGTTCAAATTTGATATGAGAGCTATTTTTGGCAAAATAATATGACATGCCAAATTTCATAAGGATCGGCCGACTATATCCTATAGCTGCCATATAACTGAACGATCGGAAATGACCCAACTTTCGTGTTTTTGATGATAGAAAGCTGGCACTTGGTACACATTCTATTTTTGGTTAGTTAATCCGACCTACAAAATTTCATTAGGATCGGCCGACTATATCCTATAGCTGCAATATAACTGAACGATCGGAAATGGTATTTGGTAGAAATATCAACTTTTTGTATTTTTGAAGATAGAAGCTTGGGACTTTTTTTTCGATTTTTTAGTGTAATTGATTGGTTTTATTATGATGTAATCATAAGGATCGGCCAACTATATCCGATGTTTGCAATATATATCCGGTTTTAGCTGCAAGGGTATATCAACTTCGGCTCCGCCCGAAGTTAGCTTTGCTTTCTTGTTATTAATTAATTAAAAAGCTACTTTGGTTTAATTCTTTTATAAATGATTATTTTTACAAAATAGTTTATTAAAATTTACCGTCCTAAAAGACTTTTTTCAAAACCTAAATCCTAATCTTTAGTTCCATAAAACTTTACCGCGAAAACAATGACATTATTTCCTATAAAAAAGCACTTCAAATTGTTTCAAAAACTACAAGAAACTTAAACTAGATTAATTTTCCAAACATCCGGAAAATGTCTCAAAACCAAAATCCCAAAGTTAGAGTATTCTCCGGTGGCTTTAGGATGGCAAGGAGTTGTGGGGGAATCAGGGCACAGAACCCAGGACCCAGGACTTGGAGCAGTCAAGTGCCACGGTCCGTCGTCAGCAGCGGCGGCGGGCATGGTTATCTTATCGCTCTTTTATGATGTACACAACGCCGCAGAGCGCCAGCTATGAGTAGCCTGTGGCAGCCAAGGTCCTGCCAGCATTTCGAGTCCTGTACCCATACCCTCCTCTCTTCTGTTTCTCCTTCTCCACCTCCATCTACTTTTGGCCTGGTGGAGATGTCGCTTTTTATGAAGACGCTTGTTTGCTCGGTTTGCCAGGGAGTCGTTGGCCAGACTTGGAGCTTGTGACTCGACGGAGGCAAGTAAATCAGATTAAGCATCCGCTGCTCATTTTGATGAGTTGTGGAGACAAACAGTCAGCCAGCCCGCCAGCCAGCCAACCAACCAACCAGCCAACCATGACGCCATTCCGTGCGGGCTCTTGAATCCAAATGATGTCCTCTTGTCGTGCATATGAGAAGTGAAAATCAGCAATTAAAATTTAAAGGGAAAAGAAATCCAGGAACCATTTAGCTTCTCTTATGAGGAGGAGCTTCTCTCTGCTTGTCTATGCAGCTTGAAGGATATAAATTATTAGATTAAAAATGGTTCAAGATTTATGACTGAAGAATTAAGGATATATGTACTTCTTATAAATTTATTGCTTTTTCCAACGAATTCATTTTGATTTTTTTTTTAATTCCTAAGTCCAAACTTCCACACTGAAGACATATCTCCATATCATAAAACTCGAAAACTTCTAAAAAAGCTTAAGGATATAACTCAAAAATTACCCACCATAAACCATAATATTTCAGTATCAATTTAGTTTTCTGCAATCTGATGGAAAATCAATTTATTTTAAAGCTTTAGCCTAGAGGTCGGCAATAATTTTGAATCATCTGCTAACTTTAATACTTAGACTTTGCCGGGGAGTGATTTGTGTTGTAAACTTTTCGGCTTTATATAATATTCATAAGGCTTTTTGGCGGGAAAATATCGCTATGGCTTGGTGTTGTTACCAAATTAAAGAAACCATTTTCATGTTTGCCACCCACTTGACGTCGCTTTGTGCCAGCCATTGTCTACGCTTCTTGGCCATGTCCAAACACGTTAGGCCATCAACTTGGGGGCCCTGCGAACAGGGATTGGGCTGAAAGCTGTCTGAGCCAGGCTGTCACTGTCTGTGTCTTATGTCACTGTCCATTAGACGCCAGCCAAGACCTTTAAGTGTTGCGCCTTTAAAGTTTGTCGCAGAGCCACTGAACAGAATGAATTTCATGGGCATTTTGTTGCGACAAACACTTAGATAAATTAGATATTGCGCATACGCAATGTGGTGCGGCTGCTTAATTTTCTTAATAGGAATTATAACACAATATTTGTCATTCACAGGCAATTTAACAAATTCCAAATACCATCTCATCGCCTGGCATCTAATTTCTCTTCCATTTCTCTATACGTATTGTATCCCCTTGCCTTTTCCTTTTGGCCAGGAATTTTATGATTATTGACAGCCCCATTCGCGTTGACTTGACTTTGCTTTTGGCCGGGTCTTGTTTTGGCCTGGCTTGGCTCAGTCTTTTTATGCAGCTCCCTCTCTTTATATCCGCCTTTTGTTTAAGAAAGTCCTGACTTCTGCGAGGACCATTTGGCTGGTGCTAAGTAAATAAGTTTTATGACATTTTCTTTCCTTATTTCTGCTTTTTTGTCGTTGTCGTTGCTGATGCCGTTGTTGCCTCGTAAAATCGCAAACGTCTGCGCCTTATACTTGATTGATTTCAATGGCTGGGAGTTGACGCCTGATTTACGCCACTCACTGATGGAGGACATAAGGATCAAGGACATACGGAATAATTCATAGGCTGGCTGGCGATAATCCGTAACTCTTACGAGATTTTACTAGCCATCAAGTTCAGGAATCTGGATTATTGAAAAGGTGAAGCACTTTCGCTTTTCATTCTGTTTTCCGCAAAGTGCCCCTCGTCATATCTGATTCTTATAAAATTAGGCAAATATACTTTGTATAATTTAATTAAAAACTTTGACGGAACGTTGACTTTTCCGGTCCCAAGTCATCAGGCCAAATACACACACTCACTTGAGAATAACTCCCTGAGCCGAGAATTAATTAACGTTAAGCAGCCATAAGGAAAATATTTGCGCATGTTCTGGCATAATTAAAAGGGTTAGCAAACTGTTCTGTTTGGTTTTGTCGGTATTTTTTCGAGGACCAAAAGGACCCACAAGAAAAAGCCAAAGAAAAATATGCCTAAGCACTTTTGGCCGAATTTTGATTTTTTTCTTACGGTTTTGTGTCAAATTAGGAATCGTTCAATGAAGATTGATCGACTAGAGGGGTTCTTCTTAAATATCACATGTAGATCCTTTAGGTTCTATATTTGAAAAATAGGTCCAAGTACATCAAGGCTATAGTATACATTTTAACCCCAATTAGCATTAATTTCTTGACATTTTTTGAAGGATATTGAATATTCTTTTCATCCACAGCCATAATCTTTTTAGTCACCTGCCTTTAAACCCACATCCCCAAAAGCCAAAAAAAAGAAACGACATGAAACATCTGAAAATCAGCAAGGACCTGCTCAACTACAATGGTATCCTGCTGGTCCAGCGCCCATCTGGGACTCACAGCCTTATGCTGAGCACTCGGTTTAACAATGGCAAACAAGTAGAACGCTGCGAAATCCGCTTAAAGAGCATTTGTATGTAATGGCCAGAACAGAGGCAACAAAAAAATGAAGCAACGAGTAAAAAAGCAACAGCATCCAGCCTGCAATGCTATGCTGCCTTTCTTCCTTCGTCCTTTTTTTCTTTTTGTTGTTTTTCTTACACCTCGGCATGCCTCCATTAGGGGATTTTGCATAAGTGACAAGGCTCTGGCAGAGGTGGCCGACTCCCCAGCTCCCCCAGCCACCTCCAGGATACTCCTAGCAGAATATGTGCCTGAGCATGTGTGTGTGTGTGAGTGGCTTGAATAAAGCCTGGCTA